GAAGACGGAGGTCAAGACAGAGCGCGTCAAATTGGGTGATTGCCAACATGAGACTCCATGTGTCCATTTAAAATGGGACTCGCTATCTAAGGAAAAAAATTCGCCACAGGCAAAAGACTGCATTTATAAATATAACAGTCTAAATTCAAAGTTTATTATAGGGCTAAGAACTACTCAGGATAATGTGCGAGTAACAATATTATTATAAACAATCTAAATTCGTACAGATGTTTTGACCCCTATCGGGTCCTTTTCAATGTTAAAAAATAAATTTAAAAATGTTACTGGTAGCAACGCAAGATGTTCAATCATTAAAATATAAAAAGCACATGTTGTATTCACATGTTGGAAAGAATAATTAAAGAGGGGAGGCAGACCTTCCCCATCTTTCCAAGAACTTCGAACGTGTCGCGACATATAATTCTTTCGAGATATTCGATTATATCAGACTTCTAATCAACACACAAACATCTGTTGCATAAAATTAAATGGAACTATAAACTAAATTATACTATTAAAAATTTTAATTTAATTACAGGTAGTTCCGCTGGTTACGTGTCAATTAATCTTCCATTGTTATCAATGCAATTTGCCGTTCTCAGTGTATTTCATCAATAATTTATAACAGGTAAGTTTAAATAATTTGTTTAGATATGAATTGAAAGGTTGCATTTTTTTATACACACATTATATTTTATATTAAAACCATTGTATAATACATGAGCGATGTAGTAGTGCTACTAGCAAGTGAGAAAATAAAGTTGTCCACACACACACACACACACACCATATACAGGATTTCCCAAAATAAATATTTCATGGTCAGGTAGAGCGGACTAAACTGAGTCGAAAAGTCCTGTACCATTTTGCTAGTTTCCCCAATAGTTAACGAGATATTAATCCTTAAAGATTCAGCCCAGGCAGTCCCTGCTCCCCACGGCCCGCGTGCCAAGCGATCGGTAGGCGTATACACTTCGCAGTAGTAAGCCGGGTGGGGGCGCGCGTATTCGGCTATATTTAAGGATTACTATCTCGTTAACTATTGGGAAAACTCGCAAAATGGTACAGGACTTTTCGACTCAATTTAGTCCGCTCGACCTGCCCATGAAATATTTGGCGATTATTTTCAGACACCCGGTATATGTGCGTATAAATATATATACATACATATATATATATATATATATGCGTATACTAATTAAAACAAATAACTACAGAATGAATTATATTAAATGTTTCATACTTTCTACAGTTTCAGATTATATCATTAATCTGAACAAGAAGCGAATGGCATTTTCGAAGAAAATCTCCGGCTCCACATTGAATACCTCATATTTACAAACATATTTCCACAATTATTGAATCCAATGAAAATTCATTGTATTATCTATCATCGTTCGTTCACAAGAACATCAATTTATTAATTGTAACTGTACATTGAAAACTAATAATCTGCGATATAATAGAAACAATCACAATGAGTCAATGAATGCATTATGAATGAATAGTGTGTGAGCGTGTGTAAGTGTATTTTTTTCTTTCAATTTATATTAATTATTCACAAAACCATCAAATTTTTACTTAATCGTAACAGACTCAAATAATTACTTACGTCGCATTGTATATTTTTCTTATTTCAATTTCCTCTCAGACTAATCTTTCTTAATTTTTATATGTTTAAAACATCTTTTTTAATCTGAAAATTTTCTATATGTATGATTTCAAACTTGCGATAGGTATATTGTACAGATATTATCCTGAAAAAACAAAACCAATTTAAATATAAGATAAATAAATTAATAAATAATATAATTGAGAATAATAAGCAAGATTATATAAATATATGTAAATTTTATAGTGAATATGAATTTGTCATTATATATGTAAACATAAATTTTAATTTTTTAAAACGCAGTTATGATTAGAATAAGCTTGAAAGATGTACTGAATCACTTCCTTCATACCAAACCTTTTCCAAAATTTCAAATTAATCAACGATCTTTTTTATAACCTTTTTATAATTCACAAAGTTATTTAAATTTAATACGAGTGAACAACGATAAATTACAAAGCGTTGGGCATAATCGTAGTCATCGTTTTGAATACTATTTTGATAACAATAATTTTTATATTATATTGTAATAAATAGGATACAGAAATTTATTATAAACTTTCTCAGGTGAATGGTAATGACACGCATTGAACTTTCTAATTTTTTTCTAGACGATGCATACGCAAATATTTTTATTATAACGTATTTTTATTATAAATTTATTGTAAAAAACAAATACTGTGCAAAATAAAGATGTCATAATAGGATTGTTATGTTCTGAGGATTTTGCAATTCTTTTTCTCTCATGATAAATACTATATGTAAATATTGTTCAAGTAGCAATAGCGGCACGGCAGACTGAATAGCGATTCTTACTTCAAAAATAATTAAGGTTCCTACGGCTTGAAACCACATAAAGAATGTTGCTTGCGCCAACTGCACTGACTGTGATAAATTTTATTCATAAATCCCCAATTATTTCGTAATCAAGTACTAGTAGAAAAATAGACGCCTAGCGCAGCTAAGTTAAAACTCGATAAGGAAAACTTTGGTAGAATAAAAAGACACCAAATTTTATCGTCATTCAACATTGTGCGTGCACATCCTGTCGCCCTGTAAGTTTGGGCGACCAATGTGTCTAATTATGATTTTCACTTCATATATTACCACCATGCAGTATGAGAAAAGGAGACCTAAATATATAGCGCACGAGCCGAAAAAATGATCCTGATTTGTAACCCCTATAATTGAGAAGGAGTCCGCTGAAAGAAATGGATTTCTGTAATTGCTCGCTATTTTAAGCCCAAAATGCTTCGAGAAAAAGAAGTCTTTTTTTGTAGCTCGCACGGAAAAAATATTCAACAATTGACATGCCAGTGGAATTGCTGCAAGAGGTATCAACAAATTCAACAAAAAAAAGTCTCATCTGTGAGTTGCATTTTCAGAAAAATATTTAGATAAAAATATTTATAAAGATATTTAAATTTATAATCGCAAATCAGAGCAACAAATACATGCAGCGATCAGCGAAGCTACGTATACTTCTTTTCGTTCAGATACATTTGTACTTCACATATAGTGTTTCTGTTTATATTCGCTTCACAATATACGCTCGCATAAGTAGTCTGAATTTATTTTTATACATTCACGTACATCTTCTTTTGTCATCGTGATATATGTGTGTTGAGTCTGTTGAACGCAACCAGTGAAACAATACGCATAATGGCGGTAGCAATACTAGAGCACTAGAAACGTAGGTATTCGCATCCACCATTTTTACTCCTTTTTTGTGACGGATTATGGTCATTATAGGTTATAATTTGCTGCTTGAAATTTTGTAGCTCCTTTCATTCCTACAAGGAATTAGCTTGTTTTCAACAGCTTAGAAACTATAACCTATAACAATCGTAACGACAATAATCTTCTCAGCTCAGTGAGAACAGAGCAAGGGCGTTTGTATAGAAGATATTTTTCTCCGTTTAAATCAGATTAACGAGGTAATTTTTTATAAGTCATGTATGTGTGTACATGCACGTCACATACATACGCATGCATCGACGGAATCCGCAAAAGAAATAAATTTGCGCAACAGAAAACGGTGGAATCGGTAGAATGAAGTTACGACCCATCACAAACGTTCCGCCAATTCCGCACCATGGGATTACCAGAGAAATTTGAAGTAATTATATAACCATTATAATCGAGATACTGTTGCGTTTTCAAATTAAAAAAAAAGGAAGAGAAAAAACGAATCGTCGATTACCAAAAATCAATTGTAATTAAACAACAAATATGACAACAAACCTGTCTCGATAGATGCGCTATATAAACCAACATTCTACGTTTACACGGCACGCTTTACCCCGGATCTACAATAGGGTTTTAAGCCTTAAGCCATAAGAAATGGGCGAATCACAGTCTCTTATTCTTCTCGGATTCGACTGTAATTGGTCAGTTTCTTACGGCATAAGGCATAAAACACCTATTGTAGATCCGGACTTAGGGTGCATTCAGGCCGGTATTCATAGGCTGCATTCCAAATTTACTGCCAGCACTGAAAATGCTACAGTTTACGTCACGTGCACTATAGATTTTCAGTATTGGCAGTCAATTATGGAACACAGCCATAGGCCATTTTTATTTCAATACCGTCTTAAGTAATGTCTTAATACGCTAATGCAGCTCTCTGATTGGTTCGTGATTTCTTAAGACTGTACTTAAGGCGATGCTAAAGCCCCTCTGTTTTACCACATTCCTATTCGGTGGGATTTCTCCGTATTGGATGTACGGATTGCAAAAGTATTATTACTTAAATTATAGTACGCACACAGAGGATGTTTGCTACACTGGATTTTATGAGAAAATCGAAAAAAAATTATAAAATTTACTTATTTTTGGCTCGCACAGCTGTCACCTCGGATATATATTTGCTTGATATAAGAGTTTTAGAGTCCATATCTTGAAAATAAGCGGGCAGCAAACATCACATTATTGAAACGAACGATACCGAATTTGTAGAACTAAGATTGAAAGTCTAGAAAAGATATATTCCCACCGAATAGGAAATACGTGTATACAGATGCTTTGCGGAGACTGGGACTGTCAACAGAGCCGAAATTCCGTGTAGTAGTAGTTGCGCGGTCTTGCGATAGATGGTGCTGGCATATGTTAGATAAGAACAGATGTATGCGTTTGAGTAAGACAGAATGATATATATTATATAATATAATGTAAAAACTAAATCAAAGATGTCGCCACTATTATCGAAATTGGAATTAAAAAAGTCTGTACTATCGACCTTGATTGAGTTGGATAATCGGTTTAGCATCCCCTTAAAACGATCTTGAATACACTAGTACTGTAGTGCGCATGCGCTAAAAAGGCGGCATACCTAACAATACTGATCTCAAGCCCATGGTGTAACTAGGCTATTGATGTTTTTAGAACGGTACTGGTAACAGAAACGCCAAGCGTCTTTCAGATCTACAAGAATGACTAAGCATATTTATCGAGAAAACGCAAAAGACAGAAGGATTTGGGCATTTTCGAGACTATTTTGTTCTCGGCCCTGAAAAACTATCAAGTTGAAAATAACCATGGATGGAAAGAGATCGATTAAGATGGTATGTAACCATGATTTAGCGTCTTTTTTTCTCTCTCTTTCTCTCTCTCTCTCTCTCTCTCTCTCTCTCTCTCTCTCCCTGATATTTTAAAAATACAAACGTTCACACACAAGGAGCAAGAGTTACGTATAATTTTCCATTATTCACCTTAAATGGTAATTATGAAGATGTGCTTTTACTCATTGATTTTGATGAAATTAGGCTGATTTGATGCGTTTTTTTTTACGAAATAAACAAATCAGACAGAAAAAAGTCGCTCTGTCCCGCGAATCAAGATATTGAGTATTAAAGTTGACGACTATTCAGGTTAGGAAATCTGTCACATCGATGGCATAGATAGAGGAATATGTAAGTGCGGCTAGAATGAGACTTTCTGCTTCAATTATACAAATTCTCTGCTTTAAAAACAAATTCTCTACTGCTTAAAAACAAAAATTATATAGAAAATGATTTGTTTTTAAAGCTAAAAATTTGTATTTTTAATGCAGACAATTTGTATTTTTAAAGCAGAGAATTTATTTTTAAAGCAGAGAAGATTTGTGTTTATAAAACAGAAAATTTATGTAACCCTTTATGCCATTGTTGTGACAGATTTCCTAGGGTTTGATTCTGTATCTTGAAACGAGGTGAAAATTACAAAAGTGAGCGAATTTACTAGAATACTGATAATTTCATTGGTCAACACCTAGTAAATTTGCTCATTTTTGTAATTTTCACCTTGTTTGAAGATACAGAATTGACCCCCTAATCTGAAGTCATCGAAACTCATTAGGGAATTTTTGCAATATCGTTTAGGGTCTCTTTCACAAACACCGATTAACTTAATTGGTTGATTAGTGCATTGGAATTGACCAATCGCATCAATCGTCAAACAAAATAACAAATGAGATTGGTCAATTCCGATGGACTAATCGACTGATTAAGTTAATTGGAATTGGTGAAAGAGGCCTTTATCCAGGTACAGTAAACGCTAAGGTCAGGTTGTCTTCTTCTTGACAACTAATTAAGAAAAGGATAATGTGAATTTTGCGTTCATCATATCTGGATTCATGTTATTGCAAAAACTCCATAGTATCTCGGTTTCCGGAACGGAAGAAGCAATACTTTTTTCTGCTAAATTCGTTCATTTTATACAAAAACGTGTAAAATGAACCTAATTTCGTCGAAATTGGTGAATAAGTCTGTCTCCTTTTTAATTATCCCTTGAATATTGAATAATTTTATCATATTCAAATAAAGTAGTTAATCTCAATATTATACTCCACATAAGGATGTTTCCATTAAGTAATTGTATTTTTTGTACTATCTGTTGATAGGATCCACTGTCGCCTGGCCCATGTCTAGACATTAGTGACGATGAGCTTGTTACAATATCAGTGCGAGATTTAAACAGACAGTTGAAATTGCGAGGACTGTCCAGAGAGGAAATTGTACGTATGAAACAGAGAAGGCGCACGCTGAAGAACAGAGGCTATGCAGCCAGTTGTCGCATAAAACGTATCGAGCAAAAGGATGAATTGGAGTCTGAGAAAACTCAAGAGTATCGCGATATGGAAACTATGCAGGAGGACAACAATCGTATGAGGGAAGAGATAGATTCCTGGCATTCAAAGTACCAAGCACTCAAAAAGTTTGCTCAAGAAAAGAAAATTATTATCCTAATATTATAGTTATCTACAAAGTTTTTTAGTTTTAAAATTGTAGAAGAAATTTAATTTTGTACATATATGTAAGAACTTATAGAATTCAACTTATGCTGTAGGAACAGTACAATTTAGGTAGGGGAGACATGACAATTTTTTTTTAGAAATATACATATATTTCTTTATTTATGACATATATGTTTATTTCTTTTAATGCACATAACGCAACAACTATTTAGATTTATGGTACTATTTGCAAAAAGGTGTAATTTTAGGCTGTTTATGAATAAAATATCAAAATCCGAATTAGTACATCTTGCTCTGATTTGAGGCAAAATAAAACAGAGTTAAAGAACACGTAACATGTTCTAAAAACAAAATTATCTATTCTAAAACAGAAATTCATTGCTTTAAAAATACAAATTCAGTGCTTTAAAAATAAATTATCTGTTCTAAAATAGAAATTATCTTATATTATTTTTGTTTTTAAATCAGTAAATTTACTATTAAAAAGCAGTGAATTTGTGTTTTTAAAACATTAAATTTGTGTTTCAGAACAAATAATTTGTTTTTAAAGCAGTGAATAATATCTATTACAAAAAGAAATATTTACAACACATTCGTAGCTATAGAGCATGAAGATGTGACTTCAGCGCGTGCTTGCATTGCAGTATTTCGTGGCTGTGACAAATTTCCTAACCTGAATATGAATCAACTTAAAATATTTCGGTTCACGAAGCAGAGCGACTTTTTTTTTTATCAAATCTTTATTTTAATGTAAAAACGCATCGATTCAGTGTATTTTTATTAAAATTTGAGGTGAGCGAGCTCTTAACGTTTATTGTTAATTGTAATGGTTTTACGATTGCTGCGTTCAACGGACTCAACAATTGAGTGAGCGCTCGCTGTTATTGATGTATTCTTCTAGATCATCCAATCAGCACTTTAGATCTGGAAGAATACATCAATAGCTCTTACTCAACTATTGAGTCCGTTGAACGCAACGATGTACTCTGGCGATGCGATACTTTTAATCCCAAATGGATATTGTCAAAATTTTTACAGATATACTTGAAACCACTTCAAAATATCAAAAAAATGCACATAGCTTGAAAAAATGTATTTTAGAGTTAATAAAATGAAAATGTGATATAAAACATTTTATTTTAAAGTTTAAAGCAAAAAAGTATAACATCGTACACTTACATGGCTTATCTGAGCACCCTACATATTACTTCTTTTACACACGCGATTAATGTCATGAGGCAAACGCAGGCCTTGATACCAACTGTTCTTGTTCTTCATCTTATCTCTTATCATTTAAAAGATATAAGTATTGTTACAACTGTCCCCAGTCTCCCCTATTTTAAATTATAAAAACATCGCTATATAAAAGATATCACTATACTTCTCTAAATGAAAGAATACGACTTAATATGTAAGAATATATAAGAAATATTGCAAGAGTATTAAGTTATGGGACAAAAGATGGAAAAAGGTAGCAAATCCATTGATTTTTCATACATCTTCATGTTCAATACATAATAAAAGTATTAATCTGCTAACTACATGAATATTAATTGAATTCCCTAGCAGCCGGTATTTTTGTCTATCTGTAATATGTTCTGGAAAATTAAAATCTTCTGGAAAACACATTAATCGACATATCTCTTTAGGTGAGAAAAACCTAAGTTTCAAATCTGACAAAATTTGCATTTGCTTATTCGAATCATTTTCATAATTAGCAATTTCATTATACTTTAATTTGATTATTTTATCTGTAAATGGGCAATATACAGATCCTGTACCTTCTGCATAATAACTGTATCCTTTGGTGAAGCAACAGGAACCATTGCTCTCAGATGTTCGTATATCTAATACCCATGCTCTCTTTTGTAGTAACTTAGAAGGCACCAAATACTTTGAATCTTCAATATGTTCCAAAATATTATTTAATGTGTAACACAGTCTGCCAGATTTCTGATTAATTTTACCTTCTTTCTCCGCTAATACTGAGTGTTTACTTTTTGGTAGTAATTCAAATAATTCAGGAAACAAATTATTCCCTAACGAGGACTGTTTAAAACAGAATTTCAGATTATTTCTTTTCGCCAGTAAATAATATCTGTGTCTACTGTTAGGCATACCAAATTGACACGGGCTTAATATTAACTCTCTATAGGCATATCCACAACTTGTTATGCATTCTACTAATCTGTTTCTCATTTGAGATACTTCAAAACCTTTAACATTCTCAAGCAAAATGTATCTTAAATTTTTCAATTTTGGTAACAAGTTCAAAATGTGTTGCAAGGAACAACTTCTGTTATCAAGAGCATCTTTCTTTAATCCTAATCTAGTAAAAGGCTGACACGGAGGACTCATAAACATAATGTCCACATTTAACTCGTTTAATTCCTGTGCATTAATGGACTGAATATTTCTATTCATAAGAACAGTTTCTGGGAAATTGTGATGGTAAACATCATTTGCAACAGGATTTATATCAATTGCTGCAACAACTTTAGCTGCAATTCCACTCTCTGAAAAAAGTTAAAACATAAATTTAGTTTTGATAACTTATAATGTTCTTATGTTTCTTTATGTTTTAACTAGAATAATGAGACATTTTTCGTATTCGGTCAACCAATCGTTTGATGAGCAATTTTCCGGTTCTCTGATCTAACACTCATCGATTAAGTAACAAAACCGTCGCTTTCTTATTATGGAATATCAATTTTTACTGTACTTAGAAATTTCTTTGTGTATCTGAAGAGGACCTAAACGTAAGGTCGAAACATGTCATTGTATTTTGTAATATTTTTATATTTTTTTTATTTTCTCTGCTATTGTTTTATATATCTTCTTTAATTATAATTTTATGAAAAGAACAGTGGAGAGACTCATTGCATTTTTTGACTTTTATTAGCCTTGTATATCATGTTGTTTTAACTTACGCTGTTAAAAATTTCATGAAATTTATTATACTTTTAAATTACACAATTTAAACTTTATTTCATAATATTAAATTAAATTTAATGTATTTATAACTGAAAAGTACATTTATGTACGTGTACATGAAATTTAATGTATTTTTCCTAAATTTAAAGTACACGTTCATTACATTTAAGTAACTACTGTAACTTAATTTTCAGTTAAATCATTCATTATTTTTAATTTCATTCATAATCACGAGCTTCATTTACATGTAAAGGAAGTGGTTACATTTCTAACAGTGTACTTTAATACAAAAACACGATTCATTATATATAATTACGTAGTAATATTTTTCGATTATTTAAATTTACCACGTAACGCATAATGCATCCCTCCAATGCCGCTGTATAACTCCAACGCCTTCATTATTTCCGATTCACTTTAGGTTTAGGAAAACAATATTTTATGTTATGGACGGTATTACGGTTTTCTTTGCAAGAGAATGGCCCAAACTCCTAAAGCCTTGTGTCCACGATGCTAGAAATCGGTCCGAGAACTCGGATGAAGAAACACTTGACCAATCGCAATGGTCATGTAATCAAATTGTTCAAATGCGATTTGTTAATTTTTTCTCTGTCCGAGATCTTGAACCGATTTCTAGCATCGTGGACACAAGGTTTAAGGGTGCCGTCACATGCGGCGTAACTTGCGTAAGCGTAACCTGTGTATTCTAGAAATTTACTAGAATACGTTATTTTTTATTTACTAGAATACGCCAGTCTGAAAGCCCGCATTCACATTGAGCGTATTTCGCGGAAGATTAGAGAAATGCGGAACTAATGCAACCAATTGCTGATTAGAATTTCTGTTGTACACTC